GAAGTCACTGTAAGCTAGACCCTAGCAGGCTCTTTCATTTGCATGAATCAAAATTTCGGATACTGGTAAATCCTGAAAAGAAATCACAGTTTGTTATGTATGGAGGGCATCTTGATAAAACTGTCCTGAGCAGTGGCAGACGAGAAGCCTGCGCAGCTGAAAAATGTTACTGCTGTCTGCTCAAAGCTGGGTTTAAATATTGACCAGCTGCATAGAAAATAGCATCTGATTTGTCAACTGCATGAGAAATAGCCACTGAGAAACCAGAACATTTCTCTGCATCCTAATACTTCCAGCTCCCAGAGATACCAAAGTGAATATCTAACATTTGACATTTCATGGAAGAAAAAAAAAAAAAAAAGCTGTTTATATCAGGAGCTGAAGATTTCCTCGCTAGGGAACCACAAACTGCTCAGAATACAGGAGGCTTGTTGATATTTTCTAGCAAACGATGGTACTCTTCCCAAAAGTGGTCTCGAGATGCTCACTGTTGGTTTTACCAGTCTTCTGGAGCAAAACCTCCAGCTAGAAGTTGCATCCCAGAACGCTCCCAAGCGCTTCAGAGCCGCAGCGAGCACGACAGGACGAGACTCGGGCAGAGGCAAGTGTTTCACTTTTTCCTCTGCGCCTGCTGCGATGGAAAACCCAACTTTCATCCAGCCTGAAAGACCGTCAGGAATGTCACCAGTCAGGACACGGAGCCTCTTTCGTCCAACGCGTGGCTGCATCACGGCCATCACATGGGACTTGATAAATTTTTCATGCCACAATTAATCAATTCCAGCAGACCATTTTCCTCGCTGGCATGCTTCCCACCTCCCCGGGGCCTTTCAGCTGTTACGGACGAAAGGGAGGGGGATTTGTGGAAGTGTTAATGGGGTGGCTTTTCTCAGCGTCATCCAACTGTGTGAGCGTGTGTGTGGCAGGTCGGGAATTTCTGGTAGTCTCCTGGGAAGTGTAGGTAGTCTCCAGAGGGGAGCTCCTTCTGCAGGTACGCAGGCGATGGGCAGGCATCGCTTTTACCGTGTGTAGAGTTAGCTCAAGAAATGGGCATATACTTACTAATTACAAGAAGGATGACGTAAAACAGGGGTTAATAAAATACGGTATTTACCCTATAAATACTAAAACAAGCAAAACACTTACGTGTGAGAGAGGTTACTACAAAGCAGCGCATCAGCAAAGGAAAGAAAAATGAGAAATTTAGTTCTCACCTTATGCATTTTGTATTCTATTACCTCCCAGATTTATAAACAAATAAAGTATATTAAAAAATAGACCAAGTATGCTTCTGATACATGATAAGCATGGAGATGAAATTGTAATCAAAAGGGTTCAAAGCAAACTAAATTACTTCTTTATTCTTTTCCTTCGAGCACTACTAATGTCATAAAAGTTTTCAGCTTGAAACACTGGTAGAAATGAAACGTTCACGGTACCTTTTCCAGAGGCTGGAAAGCTTATGCTTGGAATGATTTCTGCTCTGGAATGTCTGTAATATATTGAAGCCTTAATACCTCGCTAATTGGTACCTTACTAATTAGTCTGTGACAAGAATTTTAATTAGATGCACAGTAGGTGTTCTCCCTACCTGCAGTGGAGGAGCTATTTCCTGGGGAGAAAAGTGAAGGGAAAAAGAGTGGAAGGGATCAATAGAAGACAAATATAATCTAATCCCTACTATGGGAAGAGTGTACATTAATTAGTGTTTTTCAAAATTATGTCTCTGATAATTTATTCTGTTTCGTAAAGTACATTAAGGTTCGCTTTGTGATTTGCTTTTTTCCCCCTGTAGAACAAATTGTACTTTTTCTTCTGTGACTTGACGTGTTTTGTAAGCAAAATGAGACATCTTGGAACCTGACTGTAGTCAGGTATGCTCACGGCCAGCCCCAGGACTGAGCTGAGCGCATCCCAGGTGCCGAGCGTGAGTCTCTGTCTTCTGGGCTGAAGAGCCGAGCTGTGTCCCTGCGAGCTGGATCGAGGTGAACAGGGCTGAAAAGGGAGATGCCCAACACCCATGAGCAATGGCATTAGTTGAGCCTGGGCTGAAGCACAACCTAGAGTTTAAAAGGCATACGGAAAGCTTGGAGGACACAGTGGAGTGAATTCCTGTTGGTGGCAACTCAGAAATAACAATATTGATGATCATCATCTATCATTTTTCTTCTATCAGGAAAAGATGCGAAGGGGGGATGGAAGATATTTGTCTGAAAACGCTGCCACCACTAATGTTCTCATTAGCTTAATGGCATATATCCCGTGGCAGAGGATTTTAGGAGTGTCATTTGGGATGGAGGCTATTATAAAATCTGCAAAGTGTCTAGTGCAGTGAGAGTCTTAAAAACATAAACACAAAGTTTCTTCCATCTCGAAGGAAGCCTGGGTTGTGTGTGGATAAATATAAAGTTATTTGTCAGGCCTGGTAATCCCCATAAGCCCCAGCAGTGAAAAAGGTGATTCAGTTTCAGTAGATAATGGGACATTCTGAAAAATGATGATCAGGTCCAGGGAACATTTTATGTAAGGAGATATAAACATAAATAAAAGTAAGGGGAGGATGAATTGCACAAAAGGGAAAACCGGTTAATGATGTTTACCCCACTGAAAGGACACTTTAGGAATGGGCTCTCTGAAGGAAGGGGAGAACCTGCTGTACAGTTTGCATTATTTGAGAAATATCTTTTTTTACTTAATTTTGACTGGGCAGATTCTTCTGCATGGTGAATAAGGTCGCAGGTGAGCCATGTTCCAGTGGATATGCTGTAGATATTTAACAGCAATAGCTAAGGAATGTTTTTATCCAAGCAGCAGCATGAGGGAAGGGAGAATAAAGTTGCCCCCCTTTTGTTTTCGATGAAGTTTGCAGCAATCACTGTGAGACCAGTGATTATTTCACGAATATTAGAGAACATTGATGAAATGGAAACAGCAAATTAATAAATGGAGAAAAATCCGTGAGATTTAAGTATAGATTGTGTCAAGAAACTGAAAGAAGGTGGTGTAATCCTTGTGCCAAAATCAGAATAACACAATCTCAGTCAATTAATATGAACAGTATGTAGTCTGAAAAGCAGTTGCACATTGTTTGTAGGATATTTCTGAATACAGGAGAAGTCAGAGCAAATTATGATGGCCTGTGACTCACTCTAGAAATAATGAATGTTAATCTAAAATTGTATTTGCTCTGAAGTACTTGCTCAAATGCCCTGCCTGGTAAAAGATGCTATCTTTTCAAAGGACTTTATTAACCCACCTTTCCTACGAGATCTGGTCATTTATCATGGCAAATTTGTCTCCTGCTATGAGTTCGATTAGAAACAGAAAGGACTGGAGAACTTAAGATGGGGTTAGTGGGATTACATCATTTTTCATCTTTTATGGGCAGAGATTTAAGGCTGATATTTAAGGCTATAAGGTACAAAAGATATTGCCGCTTGCTTTCTAACTAGGATGCAGGTTGGGCCTGGCGTATCTTGAGGTGTATCTCGTTTTGCAGGTAGGTGAGTCTTCCCTGACACCTCTAAGCTAGCAAGACGCCAGCTGCCTCCAGATCAGAGGCTGTGTGGCCGCTTCTGTACAGCACTGTACCGAAAGCTGCTCTCTCTGCAGAAGGGCAGGGTACCTTAGCTCAGACCTAATGCCGTCCTACACACGTCTGTATCAGTCCTGGCCAAATTAGAGCACAAGGGTGGACTTGAATATCCCTGCAAACAGGCTGCAGCTGTACCCTCTGTCTGCTTCCTAGCGGGACTGCTGCTCACATCACAAAAAGTCCACCCCAGGCGCTTGAGCAGAGCCTGTATCAGTACTCTGAGAACTGAACAGGCTATTTGGAAGAGGCAGTTGTAATGTACCAGCCCTTCTTTTGAACAGTGCGTTTTGGAAGGAAAAAAGCCCCGCACAACAAAACACCTCTTATGTGCCTGCCTGCTTTTCTCCGAGAAATAAAAAGAAACGGGTTTTCTATCCTGGGTCCTTTGGTGATGGTAGTCTGGAGTATCCAGTGCTTGTACACTTCCTGTTGTGTACATATGTGGGTTTGCTGTGGGATACAGTGGAATATTTTGGATTGCAGGCCTCTACAGAGCATCTCCTTTATATCCCAGGTGGTCCAGCGTTATTTTACACAGTCTAGTTGAGATAAGGATGTAGATTAAAATGCAGGTCAGAAGCCCTAAACCAGACTTGGCAGGGAGGAAAGGATATTGGTTTGCTAGAGTAATTACCCATAGGAAGTGGTGATGCTGACACTGGTTTCATTGAGTGCTGCTAAAGATGTTTATCTTTACTCTGAAGGCTTTAGTCTTTTATGGTTTAAATGCTGGCTGTGAAGGAGGCTGTCTCTTTTCTCTCTGCTCTATCCAGCAGTAGTTCTCTTCTAAATATTCTGAAGATTTTTATATCTGAAAACTGAAAGAAAATATATTCTTACTTCCGAGCATTTCGCTGGAACTCATTTAATCAGAGACGTACTGTCTTGAATTTGAATGAATATTTGGAGTGTATTTGCTTGAGTAAATACAGGGAATTACATTGTAGAGTAGAGATTTAGTTGTTGTGTTATGTTTTTGTCTCCTCCAGCCAGAATTGTCTAGAAAGGCATTTTCTAAACTATAAAATAATATCCAAATCTTTTATGATTTCTTCTCTCTTACATAATTTAAACTGAAGATTCCTTATTTAAGAAAACCTAAAATGAATTTCAGAGCTTGTGTTATGTAAGTCAGTTAGTTACATCAAGCAGAAAAACTGAATGTTGCCTTTGGGGGAGAGAGAGAGGGGGAAAACAAATGCTTGGAAGCAGAGTCCAGGGAATGCAGGACAATTTGGGGACCAGCTTGTCTGCAAACCATGCCACAGAGAGGCTGGCAAAAGGCATTGGATACACGTGGAGCACCAGTCAACCTCAAAGGTTCTCTGGGATCGATTATGGATGCTTATGTACATGTGTTCAGTCTGGGAATACTCAATATTTTCACATGATTTTGTCTTCCAGAATGATTGAAGATTGTGGGAAAAGAGGAAATACCATGGCAGAAAGAAGGCAGCTGTTTGCAGAAATGCGTAAGTAATTCCTAGAAATGTTTCGCTGTGATAGACCAAGCCAGTTGCAATGCAGTGTCACTAAAATTTATGCAAGCTTTCCACCTCAAGTAATGGATATCTCCATTTCACAAATGGTTTAATGTCATGAGACCAAAACTAGAGGAAAACGGGCTGATTTGACCAAATAGCAGGAGAGAGATTTTCTACGTCAGATTTTATGGTTGTATTGTTTTAATCAGTAGCTTCTTCAGGCAAAAATGCTGCAATACACAGGTAGCAATGAAGAGAGATAAAGGTCTCTTTTATTGGGGGTATCTGTAGTGGGTTGACCCCATCCAGCTGCTAAGCACCCACACAATGACTTGCTTAATCCCCAACCAGCCCCCAGCTGGATGGGAGAGAATATAAGGAGAGCAAAAGCAGGAGAACTTGTGGCTTGAGATAAAGACAGTTAAGTGATGGAAAGAGAGAAGAAAAATGACAACAAAACCCAACAACAAGTGATGCAAAGGTGGTCACTCACCACCTCCCAAAAGCAGATCGATGCCCCGCCAGTCTCTGAC